CGAGCAGCCCCCCACGCTCCGAGCCCCCGAGCCTCGGCCCGAAAGCCCCGCCAAGCTGCAGCCCAAGCCCATCGTCCCCAAAGCCGAGCCCGAGGCCAAGGCCCGCAAGACCGAGGCCCGAGGCCTGACCAAGGCGGGGGCCAAGAAGAAGGCGCGGAAGGAGGCTGCGCTGGCGGCCCAAGCCGAGGTGGAGGTAGAGGAGGTGAGCCGTCCAGTACGGGGCCTTCCGGGGGACAGGGGCTCGCCCGCGGATGCTTTGTGGGCGCAGGGGCGATGGCAGTGTCAGGACAGGCAGGGGATGTGGCTGTGAGCGGAGCTGCACCCAGAGGACTGGGGGCGGGACTCTCTGGGTCCCTTGATGGGGGGGGGGCGGCGGGGCAGGGCCTTTGCCTGCTGTCTGGCCAGCAGAGGGCAGTGCTTTGGCCAGAAGGGCCAGCTGGGGTGGGTTCTGGGCACCTGGGTGGGCAGCAGCAGCCTCTGCTAAAGGTGCAGTGGCCAGGGCTTCCTGGGGGTGGAGGAAGGACGTGTTGTGACCCGGAGAGGCTGTTTGCGAGGTGACTGGGGCTGAGGCAGCCTCTCCCCACTGTCCCCAGGTCCCCAACACGGTCCTCATCTGCATGGTGATTCTGCTCAACATCGGCCTGGCCATCCTCTTCGTTCACCTCTTGACCTGACCCTCCTCTACCAGGTGCGGTGGGAGCTCTAGCGTTCTGGGCATCAGGGTGATGGGAGAAGGGCCTGTCGCTCCCTGGGCGACCACCAGGGGGCAGGTCAGCGGCCTGCACTGTGGGCTTGGGGAGCGCGGGGCCCACCTGCCCACTAGCTGGGTGACTAGCTGGGCATTGCAGAGCACGTGGGGTCAGCTGCCTCGGTCAGGTGCGTCCTGGGGCTTCACTCACTCACTCACTCGGCCAGCATTTATGAGCACCCGCAGACAGGGGCTACGAGATGCGAGGGGACTCACTCCTGCCCTAAGAAGTGGGGTGCCCACGACAAGAACACACCTCTGACGATGTGTCCACAGCTCGCGATGTGAAAGTCTTGCCTGCAAGTTAAGCGAAGCAGTTCTTGACTCCCGGGCCCTTCTTCACCTCCACGCGAGTCCACCCGGGTGGGCCTGCTCTCTCCTGTCTGCCCCCTTTTCTGTCTTCCTGAAACCCTGCAGGGTCCTCTTGGTTTCCTCCCTCTGGTGGAAAGGAGCGCTAGCCCGGGGCTGAAGAAAGGGGCTGAAGAAAGTGGCCCCTCTTGGTCTCAGAGCCAAGGAGCCACATGAGTCTTTCTCCTGCTGGGACCTAACTGGGCACCCTCACTCCTGTGCTGGGTGCTGCCTGCAGTCTCACCTCTGGCCCTGCCCCGCACCAAACGCCGCTTCCTTTGCCCTAGCTGAGAGTGGGCGGGAGGTTCCCAACCAGTCCCAGGAGACAAGAAATCCCTGTCCTGTCCTGTGAAAAGCCCCTGACATTTCAGCCTGGGGTGCAGCTGGGAGGTGGATGCTGGATCTCTGGTGTCCTGTGTCATAGGGGACCCGCAGAGGCTGGAGACTTAATGCCCCAGAGAGGGTGGAAAGGAGCAAACCAGGGCCAGGAGGGAGGAGGGAGGAAGGCTGAGGGCACAGCAGAGGGTAAGTGCAGGGGCACACTAGCCTCTGGCCCTGCTGAGTCACAGCCAAGGGCTAGGCTGCCCAGCCTGGGGGGCAGGGTGGGGGAGGAGGGGCGGGGGATGGTGCTGACCCAGAGAGATCAAGCCTGAGCCTTAACCTGGCTCCTTCCTCCTCCTCCTCCCTCCCCCCCTCCCTCTTGCTGTCTCCTTGTAGGTCTGGAGTCCTTGCTGAGGGCGAGAGGACCTTTGTGCAGTGCCGGGCAGCATGGCGGAGGAGGACTGGACCCTCGCTGGATCCTGGGGGCCCTGCTCACACCCAGGCAGCATCATTTAAGGAGGCCTCCAGGGGCCATGCTGGACGATGAGCGAGTGGAGCCAGCGGGCTCCCTGGACCTGCCCCCAGCGGCAGCTCCTGCTCCGGCTCCCAGCCTGTCCCACCCGCATCCTCCTCCACTGCCGCCTCCCCCTGTCACCTCCTTCCTGGGCTTTTGTGTGTTTCGGAGGTCCCCAAACCAGGATATCAACGGTCAACCCGACCCCCTTCCATCCTGCCCTGCCTGCTTTTCTTCATCCCCGCTGCTGGGCTGAGGCCTCCCAAGCAAGCGAGGGAGGGGTGGGGTGGGGGCCTTCCTTTCCCTGTCTTCACCCAACCACGCTCTTGCAGAAGGGCAGCACGAGAGAGGAAATGGCCACCCCGAAGACAGGGCTCCCCTCTCCTCCCTGGTCCCGTCAGCTTCCTTCTGCACCACCAGGAGCCCTGGCTGCAGACCACTGGCCGTGTGGCCTGGGCTGGGGTGAGAAGAGGGCCGAGGGGCTGCCGTGAGGGCCCTGTCTTTGACTGGCCTGCACCTGAGGGGCTCCCAGGGGCTCAGGGTGCCAAGGGCTCAGCCCGTGGGGGCTGTGGGGCTGCTGGGTGAAGCTGCTGTGCTCCCCTGTTGCCTTGGTGTGTCTGTGTTCCACACCGGGCCCACCTAGACTTGGGGCGCGTGAGCCTGGAAGCCCCAGAGGCCAGGCAGATCTCCTGGGGGCAGTCTCCCAGGCAGGAGCTGAGGACAGGCCACTTACCGAGAAGCATTTCCCAAGGAGAGTGGAGCGAGTCTGGGCTCGCTCGGGTGTGGTGCCGCCACACGTGGTCCCAGCTTTCTTGGCAGGAGAGGCCTTCGCAGGCAGCTCACGTGCAGGTGTTTGTCCCATGCTGGGCCTCTGGCGCCCGTGCAGCTGGGGACGAGCGGGGCTGAGGGAAGGGCTTCCAGGCCCGCTAAGCTGGTGGAAGGACGTGGCCGCGACATCCATCTGGGCAGCCCAGCCACCGAGGCTTGCTTCTGATGGGGTCAGTGTCCGCTCCCCAGTCCTGGGGGCCGTCTCCATCAGCTCCACACATTTCCTGGCACGCTGAGGCTCAGCATGGCTGGAGCGCTGCTGTGTTAACACACGGGGGAGCCCGTGGATGCTCATCTTTAGCCAGCCCGAGCCCGGGGCTCTGTGCCTTTTGGATGCCTGGGAGGAGGGGATGGGCCCAGAGCTGGCGGGCTCCAGGCTTCAGCCCTCAGGCCCAGACCAGGCATTTTGGTCTGACCCAGCCCCGGAGTTAAGCTTAGACAGCGCTTCCACATCTAATTTCAGATGTTTGGGTGAGAATTCAGGATGCTGCTGTCCGAGCAATAAATCTGCATCTGCTCATGGGCACCATGTCTGTCTGTCGGCCCAGGATAATGAGGGCCTGGTGGGGGTGGGGAGGTAGAGGCAGGCAACTCTGGTCCTGCTGCTCCGGGCCTGTCTCTTGCATCTCCTGTAACACCTCAAAGGGCAGCTGAGGGGGCTGCAGTTCTGGGCAGAGGGAGAGGGGAACTTCCAGAAGCTTCCCGAACAGCAGAGGTGGGAGAAAAAGCTCAAAGACCAGACCTGCTCTTTGAGGTCTGGTCTCCCTGGGACCCCAACCTGCTCGTCCGCTTATTTCATTTCTCTGAGCCTCAGTTTCCTCTTCTACGAAATGGGGAAAATAAAAGTGCCTGCCTTCCGGGTGGTGGTGAGCAGTACGTGGACTCTTGACACGTCTGGACAGCCCGGCTGCAGGACTCCACTGAGAAGTGGAGGCTTGAGCTACTGTTGCTGTCACACCAGGGTCCTGTGTGTGTCCCTCTCAAAAGTCTTCTTGTATTTTTGACTGAGGACCTCAAACCCCCAAAGTATGGAGATGATTCAGGCCTCAGTCATGAAACGTCCCAGTCAGAAGGGGACCCGGAGACCATCTTCATACTCCCCAGAAGCTCAGAGAGACTTGCCAGGGTCACACAGCAAATCGGGCAGGAAGCTGTCTCGGGCGGACAGCCCCGGGAGGGCAGTGGCCGGAGGGCTGGGGCCCTGTCCATCTCTAGAGTCGAATTCAGGCAGCTCCCAAAGTGACCAGGCCATCAGGAGTCCCGGTTCTCTCTCCAGGGCTGCCACTCGCTTGCTGTGTCCCCCTGGTTCAGTCATTCCATCTTTCTGTACCTCAGTTTCCTTTTTTGCCGGGGTAACATTCTCCTGCCCCATTGCTTCTTCACAGTGGTGCAGCTCTAAGGATCAACCAAGGTCGATTATGGGTGATAAAGAGAATGTGCAAAGCCCGGAATGATCCAGGGATCTCCAGGAAGAAGGGTGGAATGGGAGTGGGGGTTGGGGAAACACAGGAGGCGGGGTGGGGAGGAGTTTAAATCTGCAGAAGCTTTGCTAAAACTGGCGGAGGAAGCAGCCGACCAAGCAGCTGGTTCAGGCTAGGGGTGTGCATGCACAAGAAAGCATAGAAATGGGCGTGGGGAGGGGAGCAGGGAATGGTTGCCATAGTATCACCTAGGAAGGTCTGAAAACAGCTCACTTCAGAGCCCCGTGGGAGCCCTTGAGTCAAGGAGTTTGGCCGGTGTCGGCGCCCCCTGGTGGCCGAGCGCAGCACAGGTTTTTCGGGACCCAAGGTCTCTAGTGTGTTCTCTGCCACAACCTGGACTCACTCTAAAGTGTTTTGTGCCCTGGGGTAACTTGAAGCATCCGTGGGCATTGCCAGGGCTGTGATCATCGCCTTGGAACAGAGAAAGGCGAGGAAAGCCTGAGCTAGGGGGTTCAGATTTGGGACTTAGGATTCCGCGGCGCTGGGAGAGATGCAGGCTCAGAGGCAGCCCTGGGAGCCCCGAGTCTGAAAAGGTTACAGGGCGCACCCTCAAATATGTAACCCAAAATAAAAACATATCTAAACTGTAAAACACAAACTTGCATGTGTGTGGAAATTAAAATAGCTCTTTTTCTTTCCTTTGTGCAAAACTGACTGCCTGTGGAGGCTGTCTGTGAACGCCTCCCTCCCCGCCCACACCCCTCCCCGCCTTGCTGTCCAGAGAGAAGGGGGGCCCGGCCTTGGGCAGCAGGCTCCTGTGGGCAGCGGGGCCGAGTGTCCACGCCCCGACTCGTCCGTCTCCACAGCCAGCGTTGGCGTCTTTGTGTATGTGACTTATACCTCAGTCTTCTAAGTTTTAAAATTGAAAAAATAAAGGTCTTTCAAAGCAAACATTAGACAGTTAGGTGATGGCTTTTTATTTTTATTAGTTTTTAAAAATGTACTGTTTCCTTTGAGGTAACAGCAGGAAACCCCTCACCACCAACCAGGTATGAGATGATTTTTAAAAGTCCAGCGTCCATCAGTTAGCTACAACCAGCCACACATTAGGCCAGTCACATCCCCCAGGGCTGGCCAGCTTCTGTCCAGTGCGTTATGTCCACTTACACTCCATGGGCAGTGGATTATACTGTTGAGGGGGGCTCGGGGGTGAAGTGGGGGTGAGTGTGCTGTGTCACCTTTTTGTGTACAGTAGAACTGGACTCCACTGCTGGACCCTAAATGACTGTAGCACTAACCTGGGCCCTCATCAAAATTTCAGTGACACACGTCAACCATGGTCTACAAGTATCAGTCAGGATAAGATTTTGAGAGAGAGCGAGTGAGCACACAGTGCCATAGCCAGCATCACAGTATGTTGTTATAATTGTTCTATTTTGTTAGGAGTCGCTGTTGTTAATCTTACTGTGTCTCATGTTTAAATTGAACTTTATCACTGGGACGGATGTGTGGGGAAAAGGTGTGTGTGTGTGTGTGTGTGTGTGTGTGTGTGTTATAAATCTTGGTCCCTGGCATCTTCCAGGGTCTGCGGCCAATCCCCCTTCTGTGTTCTGTTGGGTTGGCTACGGACCGCCGCAGTTTTGGACTGCTACCACGAGGAGGCGCTATCTCCCCACACACCAGAGCTGCCAAGTTGGTTGAGGAAGAGAGGCTGCTTTTGTAAAAAAATAACAATTATAACCATCACTGTTCTCTGATTCGTCACATTAACAACTGCTCTAATTAAACATTTACGATGTGCCGGGGCCTGCACCAAGCACCTCACATAGGGTCCTCACAACAGCTCTGATTTGAAACATGACTGTTTAACAGATAAGAAACTGGGTCTGCCTGTCTCCTTCCAAGCAGGTACTTTATATCCTCAATGGAGGCACGAACTAGGTGCTGGGAAGTGGCATTTGCCTGGCAAGCTTGTCTGTGCTCTCTGTGTCTTAAAACACATTGGATTTAAGTGCTTTTTAGCAGGGCTGTCACTGTCCCCTCAGCCACCAAGCCCTGGCTGACTGATATTTGAACTTGAAGCTCCATTTATGCCATGAACAGTTCCTTGGCTCCTTCCATACTAACAGCACTTTGTGGAGTGACTTTGGAGGATCTGAGGGAAAGCTTGGAGGCTGAGAAAGGTACCAGGGTGGGTAACAGATGGCCCAAAGTCGTCCGGAGATGTGGGGGCAGCCTCGCCCGTCAGCATTGTCCCCTGACACGTTGATACATGTGCTGCAACTCCAGTATGCATGGCCCATGCAGAAGGCCTGGATTTCTGCAGAAACTTCCTGCCTCTGTCTCTCTGCATGGTCCATGACCCAGAGCAGGGACTTAACCAGCACCAGGGGTTTCTAGTCATCATGAGCAGCCTGTTGTGAGCTGGACTGTGTCCTCCCCTCAAATTCATATGCTGACGCCTTGACCCCCTAGCACCTCCGAATGGGGCTATCTTTGGAGATAAGGTCTGAAAAGGGGCGATCACAGCTAAATGCGGTCACTAGGTCACCCTCTCTGGACTTGATAAACAGAGGATCACCTCCGGGCCGTGGAGTCAGAGGCTGGAAGACTGGAGAGAAGAGGGCAGCTGTGTGAAGGGTCACAGTACACTTTGGCTTTTTAAGTAACGTGCAAGTAAATCTTAAGGTTTTTAAAGTTGAAGTCAAGATTGACATTTTGCTCCCACACAGATGCAAATTGCTGTCACAGAGCAGAATGAGTGGACTGTGTCTGGTTGTGGGCTCGGGGCCCAGGTGCCGGCTTGAGGCCCAGGTGCCGGCTTGGGGTCCCCCGTGCTGCTGGCCCCACACTTGGGATTACCAGCGGACTGCTGGGCAGTCTTTGCACCCAACCCGCCTTTCCTGGGCCGGCAGGCTCAGCCTTCCCCAGAGTTTTCCTCCCGCCAGCACCCCAGGGCGTGTGTGGAGGACAGTGAGTGAGGCAAGGGAAGCCGGCACTGGCTCCCAGGAAGGGCAGTGGCTTCAGCGCCTGTGGGGCACTACCCACAGTGAGGCCTCTCATGCTGAGATGCTGAGGGCAGCACCCACTGCCCATCAGATAGCAGAGCTGCAGCGACAGCCTCAGTCAGTCGTTCCCAGGCTGTGGAACTAAAGCTTTGGGGCGCAGGGGTGCAGGGGCCTCTGCTTTTACAGCGTCTCCAGCCGGTCTCAGCAGTGGCTCTGAGGGGTGCCTCGTTATCTCAGGACACGACAGAAGGGACACAGCAGTGACGCTGCTTGCGGGGGAGAGGGCGTCCTTGGGACGCCGGGAACCTCCTCCAGGGCCCGCCGCTCCGTAGGCTCCTGCAGGGCGCGCAGGTAGCGCCGGCGCCCGCAACCTCTGGAGGTTGTGCGGGCGGCCCCACCGAGAGCAGCCTGGACCACCGGCTCCTCCCTTAACAGCGCCACTGGGGACTCGGGGACTTATAGGGAGGGGCGAGGGGAACCGGCAGGCTGCGAAGGAGCTCACCAAGGGGAGCTCACCAAGGATGCCGCTGGGGGGCCCTGCAGCAGGCTCTGGCGCCTCACGGTGCTGTTAGAGTGGGTGGCGCCATTATTCGGTCAGTAGCTGAGCACAGCCCTAGGGCATGAGGCTTCGCCTCTGGCCAACGGCAGTGGTGGGACCGAGCGGCAGCTGTGCGTGGGCTGGACACTGCTAGCAAAGGCATCTGGGGGCCCCGGGAGCGTCTTCTCACGCCTGCGTTCGGCAGGTGCTTTTCCCCGGCCGCTCCACGGGGCCACGGGGCGCCCCGACCCCCACCGCAGGCGCCTGCAGGTGGGCTACTTCCACGCTGCCCGGTGTCCCTGCAGCTGGGAGGCCAGCCTGGCCCGCGGACGCTGGGCAGGCCCGGAGGACGGGGGCGCGCGGGTGGGAGCCGCCCCCGCAGAAGCAAGGACCTGATTGCCTGGCGCCGCGGCTGTCAGCGTGGATGTCCGGGATGCGGCTCCTCAAATGGAGAAGCGAGAGTCAAATATTAAACTGTCTAAGTCGTCACTTGTTACTGACAAGCTCCACGACTGAGAGGAAATTGTAACCACATGAAATATTTATGCTGCTCATCTCCAGGCAGCCGCCGACTCGACAGCACGCTGTCTGTTGGTTTGGCTGTTTTTCTCTTTACTTTCTCCAAAGTGGATTACAAAATGCCTTCTGGTGAGGAACAGCTCGCACAGAGGCTACACCCAGCCCTGAGACCACCATGGGGAGGAAGAACTGGGGAAGAAGCCCAAGGGGTGTGTGAGGGGTACTATGCGCTCATCTTTTGCTTCTAAAGATAGCTAGGAGGGGCCCCCCTGGTGGCGCAAGGGACTGAGGCACAGCACTGTGGTGCTGTCTGCAGCCACTGCCCTGCAGTTTCGATCCCCGCCTGCCCCGGAGGTGACCCCCAGGGCGCGGCAGACCTCTCCTGTCTCGCCGCTACTCCCCTCAGCAGCTACTTTGTCCATCGGCCTGTTCTGCTCCCCGCACTGTGTCTGGGGAATCCTCTCCGCCCCCTGCATCTGTGGCCTGTGCTCCAGATCTTGTTATGTATACATAAAAATTAAAAACAAAGTGGAAATAATGTAAAATTTCATATTGCTTCCCCCCTCCCCCCCCAAGTACAGTTTCCCCTGCTGTCCAAGAGCAGCGTTCCTTGAAATGTTTCACAAACTGAAGTGGCATCAAGCTCTCCCCATTAATCACTGTGGGGCACTTCTGAACCTTCCCAGAAGGGACAGGAGGGAAAACAAAGAACCAAAAACTAGCCTAGCAAATCAGGCCCAATAACACACCAAGCCAAAAACACACTGACAGGTGGCGAAAGCAGGACTGGCGTGATAAACACACGCGGGGAGCCCAGGGCGGGGCGGGGCGGGGCGGCCGTTCTCACTGCTCAGGCGCCAGCTGCCCGTCCCCCCCCAAAGGCTGCTGCAAAACCAACCTTGAGTACTGCTTTCGCATCTTCTGTCCAAAAAATGAAAATCCTTTTCATATTTCCTTTGGTCAGCCAAGACAGGTACTTTCATCAAAGCAAAACAGGGTGACACAAGTTTGAGTAAAGGGGGGTGTCCATATTACCACCTGACCTCTGTTGGGGGGTGTGGTTGGGAGCTCCAGTCTAGCATGCTTCCCCCACTCAGGTGTGGGGACATCCCCCACTCCCCAAGCTCCTGTCACCCAGAACCCAGCTCTCAGCTCCACCGGATCATGAGCTTCCAGGGGACAGCTGGTGACAGGGCAGTGGGAGGGGCTCCCTGGGCAGCCAGCACCCTAATCCTCTGTGCTACACTCACTGCCACCCAGGTCTGTGGGTGAGCACCCTGGGGCCAGGGGCACCCCACCCACACAGCCCCTCTGACCCTGAACCTGGTGTCGGGGGCCCTGATCTGGCAAATCCAACACCAACCACCACTCTGGAAGCTCCGCTTGGCCGAGGAGAAGAAGAGGCGGCCGTGGCCGCAACATTTTAGAGGTTTTATTACAAAGAAATTCGAGAGAAGCACTGGCACCCACACAGACAAAGTTGCCGGGGCAGGAGACAGCGGCAAACAACATTAAGAACCCAAAGCCCCCCGACCCAGAAAGCACGCGCACTTTATGATACTGCATGTCTGTCCTCGAGTCTCGCTCACAGGTCGACAACGTCACTGCTGGCCACTGGAGAGCGGTGGGCACGTGGGCGGAAAGGAGGGGCGAGGCCCGAGGTGCGGCGGGCCGGGTCTGTGCCTGCCTCCCTCCGGCGCAACTTAAAAAATGGGCGAAGGGCCGTATAAAATGCTTTTGACCTTAAAGGAAACTACTTTTCTTCCCCCCAACAAAATAATCTTACAGAAGTCTCCAGCACGGTTCTAAAACACTTAGTCAACTACGTACACAGCGCCAACAGCTCAGAGGTTTCTCTGTCCACACTGGAAACTGCACGTGCCCTTCTGGGCCGGGCTGGCCCTTGCCCCAGGCACCCGGGGGGGTTTCTGTTGGCCAGTGGGCCCCCCGGGGACAGCCTCCGAGCCCGGGCTGGGGCCGGGCGTCCACACAGGGGGTACAGTGTGCAAGGACAGGAGCGGGGTCCGCTGTAACCCTGGAGCAAGCAGGTCGGGGCAGAAGGTTCCTGCAGGTTCTTTGGGCTGGCGGCGGGCGGTGGGCGGCCTCTGCAGAGCCTGGCGGGAGGTGGAGGAACAGACTCGGCCCTGGGCTCTGGAGTGTCACTGCTCTGGCTTCTCCATCACCCTGCTTCCTGCCAAAGCCTCTTCTGCCTACGTCCTTCCTTCCGGCTGGCTGGGAGCAGCGCCCTTCCCGCAGGCCTCAGGGCGGAGAGGGAGGTGGGATTAGGTGAGGTAGAGCGATTTATCCCTGGGGAGCAGGCTGCAGGGGAGACAGGAGGTGCAGTCAGACGTGACCTCAACCAGCCCCCAGCCCTTCACCCCCACCCTGGCATGGGGAGCTCTTGTGAGGATGAAGGAGGTGCAGTGCTGGGCCCCACTCAGCCCCCAGACCCCCCGCCCTGCCCCCACCCTCCGCGTCACTCGCCCCTGGCCCCACTGCCAGGCGGGCGGGACAAGGCAGTGGCACAGGGAGGGACGACCTGCAGGTGCTGACGCCGCACTCCCCGCTGGGGTAGCTGCTGTCCCAGTCTCCGCTGCTGGGGGGGTTGGGGGGCCCTGGGGAGCGGGAGCCGGAGCCACTGGGGAACTCAGAGATGTGAGGGAAGTCCTGTGGGCAGGAAGGGAGGTGGTGAGCGGAGAGAGGGGGGTGCAGCCCTTGGGCAGCTGGGGGCGGGAGCCGGGGGCCTGGGCCACGCAGACCCTCCCACAGTCTCCGCGGGCCCCTGCCTGCCCTGACCCCAGGGAGCACCCTGAACACTGCCGCCTTGTCGTAGCTGACTCAGGGGTGCAGGGTTTTGCTTTTAGGCTTTTTCCTTTTCTTGGCCTCAGTTTCCCAGCCTGTAGGAGAGAGTATTCAGCCTGGGCTGAATGAGAACCATGCCAGTCACCCACAGTCTCTGTGGTCTGTGTATGGGGTGAGGCCTCGTAGGTGCAGGGGAGAGCCAGGCTGGGGCTGGCCTTGCGGGTGCTGCGTGGCCCTGCCTGGGGGCCCTAGGGACCCAAGAGGCTCTGTGCCACCTGTCAACTCTTCACCGCAGCCAGGACAGCTTAGGTAAGGTGCCCACTTCCTAGCTATGGCACTGAGGCCACACACTTGCTGAAGGGCAAGGCCAGGATCTGAACTCCCAGCCACCTCCCCTGTCCGGGTCCCCGAGGGGTGTCCTCCTACTCACCCGGCTTACCTGTGGCCCTGGAGGGGAGGGGCTCATGGCCAGCTGCACCTGGAGTGCCATGGGGGTGGGCAGGACCGGGGGCTGGGGGGCTGGGGACATGCTGACAGGGGGGCTGAGGAGGGCGCCCTGGGCGTGGGGGGGCAGTGGCAGCTGCTGGGGGGGGGGGGGGGGGGGGGGGGGGGGGGGGGGGGGGGGGGGGGGGGGGGGGGGGGGGGGGGGGCGGGGAGGCGGGGGGCGGTGGTGGGGATGCACTGAGGCCGGGCAGCAGTGCCTTGGAGCCCAGTGTCCGGGCCAGGCTGGCAGGAGAGGCCCCGCTGCGGAAGGCCTGCAGGTCGGACGGCGTCAGGAAGGAAGCCAGGCCTGGCATGGCATACATGGGCTGCTTGGGCGGGAGCATTTTGGCTGGTGGGTTGGCCTGTGTGCTCTTGGTCTCACCCTGGTCTGGAGAGCTCTGGAAGGAGACAGACACCAGCCACTCTGAAGATCAACACGCCAGAACCGAACCAGGAGCCTGGCAGCTCTATAACCCGCAGACCTGGCCCGGGGCTGGTTCTCCAGGGAAACCCTTCTCCTTAGCCTGGCTGGTGAGGCCGTCCACCAACCGGCCAGCCTGTCTCTGCCCCTGCCCAGCCTCCGAGCCTCTATGTGTGCTGTTCCCTCCATCCAATTTGCTTGGCCCTGTATGTCCAATGCATAAGCCATGTCCTCTGTAACAGCTCCCGGGGCAGTAACCCTGGCAGTCACTGGGATCACACATCTGTCACATGCTGATTTCCAGAGCAGCTGGGGCTGGAAGGCAGCTGGTGTCGTGTGGAGTAAAGGCCACACTTGATGGCGGGTAAAACTGGGGTGAATCCCAGTATAGTCACTTAAAGATCTGAGTCATTTAAGGCACATTGCTTTACCCCGTGAGTGCTGGGTTCTTGCTGGAAGAACTAAATGAAATGTGGTGTGTGGACAGTAACTGCCGGAGCCGAGCAGAGAGCAGGTGTTCTGGAGAAGTGTTCACGCGGCCCCACCACCCACTCCCAGACCCGTGGGGTTGACCCTTCCCAGCCTATCTATCTCTTGCTCCCTCCCTCGAGCGCCCCACCACACCAGGGCCGTGCCCAGGGGTCCCAGGCCTCACCTTGGACACCAGGCTAGCCCGGTAGGCAGCCAGCGCCTTCAAGTACTCCTTCTTCGCTGCCTCAGTCTTCCTCTTGTAGGCCTGAAAGATCCAAGACCCGGGCAACGTTGGGAGCTTTCAGGGAGCTGGGACCTGGGGTGGGAGGGAGCCTGGCACACGGGGTGAGGGCATTGGGAGCAGGAGCTGGGCCCTGGGAGCACAGCACGGGGTCGGGGGCGGAGGCCAAGGGGAGCCCAGTTCCTCAGCCAGGTTGCTGGTGCCCGCGGGCAACATGTCCACCTGCCTGGGCGCCAGGTCACACCGCCGAGGCTCTGCAGGCCCCTACCACCCGGCACAGAGCAGCTTTCTGAACACTGAGCCGCCTTTGCACAGAGTGACCCTGACGGGTCCAGGGTGTTACCTGGGCCTCAGGGATAGCATTTTCATTAGGACTTTTGAGTCTAGCTAACCGGGCTGGGGCTGTCACACCTCCGCGGCCTGCTAACCGAGCGCCCGGCAGTGACTGGGGCCTTGTGGCAGGCTCGGGGCCACAGCACAGCACGTGCGATGCAACAGGGACTGGAGAGGGGCGTACACACGGGGGTGCCCCCCTCCCCCGCCGCTCCGGAGAACCAGCGTCCCTGGAACAGCTCCAGACCACGACTGATGGGTCCCCCGCACCCCGCAGCCAGTGGAGCGCTAACTGGCTTTCCCTGGCCGTCTCCCCTCCCACCTCCTGCCAGCAACCCTCAGGTCTTTTTCCAGAGAAACTGCTCCCAGGTAACATATTCCAAGAATTGTTAACAAATTTGATGGTACAGGGGGCATTTCCACTCCCTTTGGTCCTTAAGCATCGTTCTGAGTTGTGTGTGCCACCTCGGGGGGTGGCAGCCCCTGGTGCAGGCCACCGTCACCTCTCCCGGGGTGGCAGTCTTCCGCTTACCCCAGGCCTCACAACCACCTCCCGGAGGTCTCAGCCTGCTCCGCCCTCTGCTTAAAGCTCTTCATTGTCCCTCTTCTGTCAGCATAGGGACGGTGCCCTCCAGGTCTGTAGGGCAGCCGTGGGCTGCTCATTCCTCTCTGGCCCCCCGAAAACCGCTTGGCTGGCCCAGTCTCCATCCAGCCGGGCTCACCAGGCCCTTCTAGCTGTGGCTCCTGTGCCGAGAACCCCACTACCCACATTCAGGTCTCACCTGCAGACCCGGCCCTGGGTCTCTCTCGCTCCTAAGTGCCCTGTGCTCCCCTAGGGCATATGCAGACCCACAGTCTGCATATGGGATTGCCTATGCCTCCCCGTGAGCCTCCTGGAGCCACAGATCAGAGTTCAAATCCCCCTCCTCCCTGGCTCACGAGCCAGGTGCCCTCGAGCCCTAGTCACCTAGCTTCTGGGCATCTCTCCTGGCAAAGTCAGAGAGCATGGCTTCTCACAGGGCTTGCTCAAGATTGAGTGATAAAGTGGGAGAGCCCAGCACACACCCAGTCTCGGAACAGTAGCCAGTATCTCTAGCACAGATAGGATATTTGAGCTCAGAGAGGTTAGGTGACCAGCCGGAGGTCACACAGCTAGTAACTGGTTTTTGCCTATAAGCGCATTCTACTCCCTTTTCCTCATGCAGCACCGTGAAAGGACCAGAGCACACCAGCCATGGTATCGAAGGTTCTGACCTGAATTCCAAACTTTTATGAGTTGGAGGGATAAGTTGTGGAAGCAGGGGTCCAGGTAAGTTTCTAGCAAACAGCAGGACTGGAGGGGACGGAACCCCCAGCGTAGGGCGGGCTAACGGAGCACAACACGACCTCCCTCCACAAGTCTCTGGTTCCAGACGCTGGACCTGGTTGCCAGCCTTCCAAGACTGCTTTTGATCCTGGGTCTTCAAAGCCTCAGAGAATGGCCCAGCCAGGGAAGGAGACTCACCTGCTTCTGCTCCTCTCCTAAGCTGTCCCACATGGAGGCCACGATTTTGGACACATCCCCAAAAGTGGCGCTGGGGTTTTGCCCCTTGATGGCGGCTTGAGTGTCTCTGAAGAAGAGCGCGTAGGCGGACACTGGCTTCTGTGGCTCGTTTGGGTCCTTCTTCTTCTTCTTCTTTGGGTTCTTGGCCTTTTTCCCTGGGTCGGTGGAGGGTCTCTTCTCTCCAGAGATCTGCCCGGTGAAGGGAGTTAGGAAAGCACAGTCGGGCCCTGCAGCCAAAGGTTCCGACCCGCCTCTGCAGAGCGGGACCTTCTCTGCGGCTGCCCCGCGACTGTGCAGTCTGCTCTCCGGGCAGTGGGTGGGGATGGACAGCCAACCCCCCTCAACCCGGTCCCCTGCTCTTTCACACCTGCCAACTAACACCTCCCTCAGTGGGGGAGGCACTGGACACACATGCATACAGCTGTGCACATACACACACACACCACACACACACGCCTGGGGGAGCCCTCGGTTTTTGCTGGACTTGTTAATGATAAAGTTGGTTCAAAGAAATACATGCGAATGGAAAGCGGCTGGTGCTCTAGAGAGCAGGAGGACCCACCGACACCTGTCACCTTGGGGCTTTTCCTCTTTCCCACTCAGTGGGTCGACTCAACATGACATTCACATGTCTACAGGGAAACATTCATTTGCCCCAGGAGCAGACAAAAGTCATTCACATCTCTGTCACTTCTTTCCTCCAAGTTAGCATCTACCTCGACAGAGTGTGAAATCCCCTAATCAATAATGAATCAAAACAAAGGCACATTCTCCCAGGGGTCAGATCACTCCTGAGCCGCCGTTATGCCATGCTGCGGGACACCACGGGAAGGGGGTGGTCTGTGCGGCCCCTGTCCGGGCCTCGGATATAGATATTTGTTCTTGAAAGCCCCCTCACGTAATCGCAGGGAAACGGTCCAACTCTTCCACATTCCAGTTGTGCAACTTCGGGGCAGGGGCCTCGGCCCTGTGCATTAGTGGGGGTGGGGGGAGCAATGTTAATGGGGCTGTCTCCCGGGGCCCCACTCTGGACACGGGCTCTGAAGCAGTCAGCCTCCAGGACCCCAGCGCTGTGAGCGCCCCTCGGCGAGCAGGACGGGGAGGGGTGGGATGTGCCCATGACCTTGTGGGTCAGTGATGCACTCGGGCCACACAGGGACCAGCGACTTTGGCCTTGCAGTGAAGACCCCGACTCTGAGAAGTGGCCCCGTGAACTGGGCCACAGACACGATTCAGGCCTCGGGCAGCAAAGCACCTGCCACAGCAGCACACGATTCCTTCTATGGCCCCGGCTCTGGGTCTCAGCTCTGCCCACATCATGGGAGGCCCCAGCAGTGGCGGGAGACAGATGCCCCTTGTGGCTGCCGCAGGACAGAGCAGGTGGCTGGAGCACCGATGCCGGCGTCAGGCTGCAAACACCAGGTGCGGGTCCTGATTCCGCACCACTGATACGTTACTTCACCTCTCCAAGCCTCCATGTCCCCATTTGCCAACTGGAGCTAGGGGCACGATCGCATGGAGCGGTGAGGTGGATTGCATGGGTGACCACTTCCCATGAAGTGACATGAACTTCCAACAGTGTGTTGCCTATGGGAAGAATTTGTTCAATAAATAAAAACCAACGCACCCCAGCCTGGCTCAGGCTAGAGACCTAGTTTCTTGGGGGTGAGGCTGGACCTGGGTCCAGAGGTATCCGCCTCTGCCGGAAGGTTAGGGCGCCCGCAGATGCCAGCAGGCTCCAGCCTAGGTCTCTGCAGGACCCCAGGAAGGGGTCGGAGGCCCTCATGAAGAAGGGGCATGGCTTTGGGAGGCAGGAGCTGTGGGGTCAAGTCCTGGCTCGGCTCCTGGCTGGGTGCTGGGGTGCAGCGCAGCGAGAGGACCCCTCCCTACCCTCCCTGGCGCTGTGCTCTCTGCCCAGGGAGACCCGATACTCTCCAACAGGGAGAGAGCTCTGGAGTCCTTACAGGGAAGCTGGACCCGGGACCGGTGGGGGTGCTCTCACCCCCAAAGGCCTTGGAGGTGGGAGGGGCCCTGGCTTCAGGGATCGGGAGCAGCACAGGTTCCAGTGTGGGTCATTTTAATACCTGAGCCTGCTGGCAGTGCTGCCCAGAGGAGTCGCCTGCTGGACCACCCACCGTGTCGGGATATTTTCTCCAAACCGGCAAAATACCCATAAAACACGATGCTGGGGATCGCGCTTGTTCCACCAACGACCCGCGAGCCCCAGAAGTCCCTCACTCATCCCCTTGCCGTTGCAGCACCATCCACACTGGGGGTTGTGGAAGCACCTGGCAGCAAGCCCAGCGGCTGAAGTCGCCACGGGGCCATCTTGCTGACCAGGTGTTCTGGCCCCCAGTCCCTGGTCTACCTGGTGATTTTCTTCTGTCTTGTTTTCCAGCAAAAGACAGAGTTACCTCTTCTAGTCCTCCCTAGGTGGGTGATGCTCGTTTGGGGCTGACGAGAGGCATCGTGGGCTCTTCGTCTCCACCCCCACTTACCTTGAAGTGGGCTTCTGACTCCTCCTCCTGAGTTGAGCTGGAGGGAGATGGGGTCGCTGACTTGCTCCCCGGGGGTGATGGGGAGCTGTGGGCGATGCTGCTCCGGATGCCCATCTGAGAGATGAGCTGAGACTGGCTGAGGGCGCTCATGTGGCTGGCCAGCATGGCCGGGCGGCCCAGCAGGGGCCCTGGCCGGCCCGAGTCGTAGGCGGCCACCTCCGAGTGGACCATCTCCTGGATCTGAGAGAGGGGCACAAGGCATTTTGAGTCAGCGAGGACCTGAAGCCACAACATCACCTCTGCAGACGGGGCCAGAGGAGGGACATGGGGTGACAAGGGGGCCTGAGGGGGGCTCCATGCCCAGCGGGGCTTCCCCACAGATCCCTGACAGGCGATGCCTCTCTCTGACGGCCGCGTGGTCTGGCGTGTCTCTGGGGGCCTCTGGCTCCTTGACGGTTTGCCATTCCGTTAACACCCCTGGACAGAGCGCCAGCCTGCAGCCCTTGCCAGGCCGCTCACTTCAGCTGTGACTGTATAGATCACTCTGCGCCGAGTCTGCTCTTCTGACCAGCTACTGACTGTGCAGCAGACGGCAGAGGGCCTGGACACCAACTGTGTTTAAATCCTGCTTCAGACACTAAGGTGCTGGGTGACTTTAACCGAGTTACTTAACCTCTCTGAGGCTCCGTTGCATCACTTGAAAAATGCAGGCACTAATCAACCACCCCCTCTCGAGCTGCTAACAATTAAAATGCGCGCCACTTCGCACGCTCTGATTGTGTATGGGTTTGGTGAATGCATACAAGAAATCAATCCTGTAATCAATTACTTTTCTTCCAATAGGTCAGTGACGGTTTCTTATTAAATATTCCTCATGATATTTTCTAAGTGGTTATTTTTGGGTATTAAAAAAAATACTATTGATTTTTACATGGAGGCGCTACCCGAACTAACACAGATTTGGGATAGTGCATTATGTTTACACACATACACGCTGCTCAGTGACACATACTAATTTGCTTATTTTAATTTCTTCTGCATCTGTGCTTATTTTTCCACACTAATATCTAATGGCAAGTTTCCGTGTTTTATTTTCTGTGTTTACTTAGGCAAGTTCATAGCTTTTCTATCTGTATTATGTGGGGGCTTTCTTTTTCCTCCTCAAAAGAATCAAATCTCAAATTTCTTTACACTTCTATTAATTTTCAATGTTCTAATTACTTAGTATCTAAGTTTACCTTTCTTAATCACTTCTTCCAATTTTATGTCTTCAATTTGGAGTTGTATTTTCAGTTCATTGTGTTATTCTTAATTTTGGTAAAATATATGTAATACTATGACCTTTCCCAAGCTTCCTGACATTCCTCAGGAAAACTTTCCATTACTGGTTTTTCTTACATATCTATTTTTAATTTTAGCTTTAATTTCCTCTTTGACCCAAGAATTGTTAGTTTTATTTTCTAAAAAATAAATTTTCTAAAAAGGGTTTTTGTTTCTTTGCCTTTCACTACTGATTTCTAGTAACAAAAATGATAAAAGAGTAGGATCTGTATGATTTTTGCACTTTTGATAATTTAGAAGCTTCCTCTGGACCTATTCCATAGTACATATAGGTAAAAGTGTTTGCAGATTAATCTAATCTATTAATCTAATAATCTAATTAATCTAATAGTGTAGCACTGATCCATCCCATCGGGGTGACTGTATTATTTTGATTCCTTTCTTACCTTTTGACTTGTCTAGACTGCCCACAATTCTTCTGGCTCTATTGAAATCTCTCCTTAGTGCTTACAGTGTTTGCTATGGGAATTGCATTTGGTTTTCAATTGCAAAAAGAAAACTGGCAATTACATCTTCACTTTGGGTTGCTTTAATAACTATAAAGTGTCTCATCTTTTCTTTTTGGCTTGAATCCCGGGGAGTCAGAGATCCTTTCCTGTCTGAAACTGTCTGGCATACCTTCCTTTCTGAGGAAATTTCTTCCTTATATTCTCTCCAGTTCCTTTTTTTTTTAGGGTTAACTTTGTCAAATGTTGGTGTTTGTGTTACTGTGAACTTCAGAAGAAGAACTGAGATGCTCCCCTTTTTTTGTTGTACCCTGAAACAGTATAAATCACACAGAAATCTTACCTATTTCTGAGAGAAACGAATGAATACAGAGATAAAACCGCCGAGGCACAGGGCTTTTCAAAGACTGATTTTTCACATTTTCCATGGTTAACAGGTCTAAATTCTTTGGACAGTTTTGATAAACTGAATATATATATATATATTCAGACTGTTCATTCAGATTTTCATGCTAGTAGCCTAGACTTGGGATACTCAAAGGTTTCTATTGTTAAATCCCCCTCCACAATCGTAATAGTGTATAAAGCATGTTGCATTTCAAAATGTTCCTTCTCAAAAGTTTACATATTTTAACTCTTCACTCAAAGAACCAGTTTGCATACTAAAATCAATTCAACATCTCCCCTGATCATTAATTACTTAACTATTAATACATTTTGCTTTTCTCACTGCTCATGCTGAGCTCAGGTATCACGTGTTGGCCTTTGTGTAGTTTTTCAATTAGACAATTTACTTCATACTCATACTTTTTTTGCTAGCGGTACAGGTTCACACGAGCTGGTTTTCACAACTGGCTGCCTGGCACCAAGTGCTGCTGCCACCTCGTGGGTAGAGGCCAGGGTGCTGCTAAACATCCCACAATCACAGGAACTGCCACCCCACCCCCTTACGCACCCCAGTTACGAAGGCTACAACGTCAGCTGTGCTGGTTGAGAAACTGCTCTAAACTATGCTTTCCCTCCTGAAAAGGGTCTTAGATGCATCATGTGTATTTTTTACAAAACATTCTACGCCTGAAGAAAAAGGATTTTCCTTTTTTCACCCTAAAATTATTTGGAAGACAGTTTTGATTTAACATACCCTTTCGTGATGGTGGTCAGAGAACATGACCCTAGAATTTTACCTTCTTAGTATTGAGGTTTTCATAATGGGTTAGGGTATGTGACAATTTTGGTGAGATCTCCACGAACTCCTGAAGTGATATTTACTCTTTACCTTACACATCTGTGTCTATTATGACATGCTGTGACTCCCCTGGCTGTGAAATCTCAAAAAGGAACTCAAGCCTTCCACCATCGGTGTGTTCCCATGAGTTTCTCCAAAGAATTTAGCAAGTGTTATACATACAGACTGATGGGAAAGAAATTATTCATCCCCACAAATGTCCTAGTGTGCTATCTATGCTTTGTTGTTATTTTTTAAAATGAAAACACCTATGCTTCAATTAATGTTTCTGCTTTAAATCTTACTTTATCTGAGATCATTGTCATTCCATCTTCATTTTTCCCTTTATTTTTATCTTCACTTGACATGAACACTTGTAAACAGCATGGAGGGTGACTTTGGGTCTAGTTGGGCCCTCCATATGCTATGTTGGGAAATATGTGTTGTTATTATTATGTTATCACAAAGAAATCTGAACAAGAGACCAAAGTGGATGGTTTCACAGAGTAGAAGCTCTTACAAGCAATCTGAATACACAATGGCCAAAGACCTTGAACAGGCATTTTGAAGACACACGAACAGGCAACAGGTCCATGCTCAACACCACTAGCCATGAGGGATCAAAACCACAGTGATACAGCCCCTCACACCTGTCAGGATGACTAGAATGAAAGGACATGAGGTAATAAATGTTGGGAGTCTGTGGAGAAAAAGGACTCCCACACTGCTGGTGGGAATATAAATTGGTACAATCACCATGGGAAACAGCATGGAGGAGCCACAAAAAATTAAAATAGAACAGCCGTATGAGCCAGGATTTCCTATTTCTGCAGCTATATCTAGAAGAAATCACCAGCTTATGTTCACCGCAGCATCACCACAGCCAAGGCGTGGAAACAACAGAGTGTTTCCACATGGACAAAAAAAGTTATATATATGTGCACGGGCCACACGCATGTAATATACACACATATATAAATATCATGTTATTCAGCCATCCCCCAAATAAGGAAATCCTGGTTTTTTTCACAATATGGCTGCATCTGAGGGCACCAAGCCAAGTGAAACAAGGATAAGTGCTGTCTGTTCTCACTCCTATGTGGGATCTAATAAAATTGCCAAACGCAAAGGCGTAGAGAGTGAAGCAGTGGTTTCTTGAGGTCAGGGGTGGAGCACGAGGCCCTGGGCACATGCTTCCCGCTACGTGACAATGATTCTGGGCAGCTGTGCAGCGGGAGACTGCAGTCAATATTTATTTACTATACACTTGAAAGTTGTTCAAAGAGTAGATCTTAAAAGATATCCATCCCCCTCCCCAGGTAATGATGTGAGAGGATGGAGGTGTCCCGGATTGCCACGATGGATTCGTGAGTTCTCAATAATTATTTTTCATTTGCATCGTTTCCTAACCATGGTGATGACAGAGATATTATCTCAAGGTTTGGCTGTTTTCACTGCTCACACACCTGCCTTTTCGACCATGTTGCTCATCCTGGACCTATTTTCATCCATTTCTCAATCAACTGTGCTGCTTCTTTAAGTGACTTATCCCAAAGCTGCTTTGAAATAAGAAAAATCTGCGCGATGCTATTTTTGCATAGTTATTTAATTTGTGTAGTTATGTAATTGTGTAGCTACTTAGCTCTTTTGAGTCAAACCCTTTCCATTTTCTCCCGATAAGTGGCATTTTCTACTATTATGCCTTTGATTATTGCCTCTTTTCTACTGGTCTTCTTTTCCCGCAGAACTTCCTATTAGCAACATATTGAATCATCAGGATCTTTTATCTCTTCAGCCATCATCTTGAACTCTTTAACGTCTTCCTTGGCATTTGAGAGAGAATCTTGAGCTGATCACAGTTCTTACTGGATTGTTTCGTATTCATGACTTTCACTGCATTTCAAATCCAATAATTACATATTTCTTCTGAAAGCAATCTTTCCTGATTTCAATTTTTTCTCATCACACGGATATACATTATCATTGAACTTTGTCAAGAATGAGTGTTTCTCCCCATCTCTTAAAGTAGAGTCTTCAGAATGACCTTTTTCTTTATGTTCCTAACACCTACATTAGCACCTTGCACACAACAAAAGCGAATGCTTGCTGGACCTATTGTACATAGTTAGAACAGAAAACTGGATGTGATCTGGGAGCGATGTCCAGTTTGGCTGTGCTGTGGCCAGGGTCTCCACGGAAGATGGTAGGGCTCGGGGCCACTTCTGTCC